GATGGCACTAAGAGAACTTTCCGAAGACTTCACCAAAATTAGTCCCCGTACTAAGGTGCGAGTTTATCGAGCTATCATCCGTCCCGTTATGAACGACGGGTGCGGGACGTGGCCAGTAAGAGCACAAAGCCTAAAAAGACTCAGGGCTTCCGGCCACCGGTGTCCACGTTATATCGTGAAGGTAAAGTGGTATGACCGATTATTAAACTGGGAATTCCGTGGGCCCTGTTGCTCCAACGATAAGTTGTTTTGCGCTGCTGCAGCACCGTTAGCTCCAACGGTCCTGGTATTCCTCAGCGCCCATTCACGAAGCTCTTATCTCAGTGCTGTGTTCCGGATGATGCGGTCTGTAATTCGCTGAGGATCTCGATCAACACAGTCCAAGAAGATATGGAGCAATGTTTCTGAAAGTAGTGTATAACCTCCGAAACTGGAATCAGAACTTGCTTTTTATTTACACCAATCTTGTCGCTTGGGACCGCGCACAGGCATCTATCGTAAAACACCAGTGAAGCTGAATGTCTTCACGAAGGAGTATTGCTGCTGGCGCAGTGGTTTAGTCGCTGTCACAGGCGTGCTTTGGACCCTTTGGTCCGAGGTTCGAGCCCCACCCCCGCCACCCAACTTTGGTGGTAGGCAGCTTTGCTGTCGTTTGGTTCAATACCACGCCTAACCTATCGGGGCCTTACGTGATTCACCACTCCAGGTTCCGGGGCTTAGGTCACCGGTTTCCATGACTGAACAGCAGGTCCTCGTGACTATCCCCGTTTGATGTTCATCACACGAAAGTGTGTAATAAAAAAAATATATGGAAGCCATATATATATATATATATATATATATATATTTATATTGAGAACAAGCATGGTGCCAACGCCACAACAATATTAGCAATAACAATAACAATAAAATTGAGTAAGTTAATTTAAGCGCAATGATCATTTGTGAAGAACGTCTCAAAATTCGTTCATGAAATTGCGGTTTGTGGTGTAAGGTCTAGGTGCATTCCGGTTGTTGTAAAAACCACAGGAAAAACAAACGCTTAACCGGACGACAGGACGATTGCTACCGATACTCATGGATAACAAATCATCGAGATTAATGCAGTAAAATCAACTTGAAGCAATATGGCCATTGTTCGGCAATTTAAAAAAGTTATGGATCTCTCCCAGCTGAGCACAGTGCTGTGTTCAGCCTAGACGTGGGATTGACAGAAGTGCATCTTGCATAACCCCCAAAAATAACACGACTCAAGACAACAGTCACCGTGCATTCCATGATCATGATGCGATTCGGAAATATAAAGGACATTACATGCATACGAGAACGGCATAGTGACGCGCCAATCTGACTGCGTCCTCGACAATCCGATTGATCGATCGGACAACCGCTGTCTGATTCTGAATTCGACTTGCCTTGCGCGTCTTGAATGTGCTTGCGGCGTGATCTCCGTTCTAACACACCATACCGGGGAACCTTTAGCAGTTTGGAGGGCCATTTTTTACTGATATACTAGATAGTTTGTTTTTTCCGGATACGGTGGACGAAACCCTTTGGCTTTTTAGATAAATGCAATTAAAAATGAACACAAAATAACATTCATAACGGGGCTTCGACTCTCGCATATGAGCGGAAAGAAAAACATGCACAGGTACGAATATAACGCTTACCGAAACAGGGCCTTCACACATTTTTTGTCTAGTGCAAGTGCAGCCGAGCAGTCCGATTCGGCAGAAGCATAACGTTCTAATTTTAAAAATGCCAATGCACGATTTGTGTATGGCACAGGATCTTCCGGAGTTAGGCGAACTGATGTCGTATACTGTTCAATAGCATCTTGAAATTTGCCTTCCTGTAGCAAAGAGAAAAGGAACATAATGAGCGCGACCCCAAACGAAATACGCGCACAAAACATCCTACAACATACCGCGTAAGGAACAGGGTTTAAGGCACAACAAAGGATGACGTCGACTTCCACATTTCATGCCTGATGCGCGACGTGGACTGTCGATCACTTGCTTACACCCAACCACAAAAAGAATAGGAAATTCGCGAAACACTTCCACAAGAAAATACGACACATATGTGAGGCAGTTATCATGTATAATATGGCACCATGCGATTGTGCCAATATGCTAAGCGACCTATCATGAAGTGGGAGACACTCAGCTCATATAAATAACAGTAATTTACCAAAATTCCCTGCCTGCCTTGGCCCGGGCTATCTGGCAGTATTCAACCCACATGCCAATTATGGAACGTTTTGCTTTTTTATAAAGATTATTGTACCACGATTTGCCTGGTACACAGTCTGTCTTCAAACAAGTGTGAAAAATAATATAATACCTAAATGCATCAAGTGTCCTGGGTAATCGGGGACAGCTAAAACTATCACAACGATCACCAGAAAACTTTAGCATCAAACTTTTCTTCTGATACAATCCTTCCAAATACCGTACTTTCTTTCCCGATCATGCACCTACAGATTTCGCATAATTTTGTGGAAAAAAGACAAATCGATGTATCAATGTTTAGCAAATATAAACAGAAACGGCTAACTGTAAAGGATGCACGAATTGCATTGATGTGAGAACTTAAACGCAAAATTCAGCTGCCTTTCGGGTTAGACTTTGACTAACTAAAGGCTTCGGTTGTGAATTCTCGAAGAAAATCCACCTGCCTTGGTAGCATTATTATTATTTTCACAAGTCTGAGTACAGACTGTGTCAAACAAATCACGGTACAATAATCTTTATAACAGAAAAAAGGTCCATGATTTTCTCGTGAGCGATACTGCTTGGTTGCCCAGACCAGAGGATGTGAACTATCTTGGGGAATTTGCAACCGGAGCCTTCGGTTAGTCAAAGCTTGACCCACAAGACAGCGGGACGGTGTGAAAATCGCAATCCGTTAAAGGACCGGTGTCCCGTTCATCGAAGTATAAGTCATCTGGACGGGGTTAAACGTCCGAGGTGCCCAATACACCTCGATACTCAACCGAGCTGGTGGCCACTACCACTACCAGGTGTGGGTGGGTGTGGTTGGTTTGGAATCAGGGTTTTTAGCCAAATCCTCTAGGTGAACTGCCAGGCGTTCATCGACCCGGTTATAGCCCTGGATATTGGCTGTTCGTCCTCTCACTTTGGTGGGAAAACACCTCTGCCAC